AGGTTCAACTGAGCTTCTAACTGAGTTGGGGTTCCAAACAGGAAGTTTGGACCCACCTTCCCTAAGAGGTACTGAGCTTCTAACTGAGCTGGGGTCCCAAACAGGAAGTTGGACCCACTTTCCCCAAGAGGTCGTTTGAGCTTAACACCAAGCAAAGGTTTCATCAGCACCGCAGCCAGTTCAAGTATCGCAGGAAATCAGAGTGGCAGTCAGCTTCTCCGTTCACTCCAAACAGGAAGTTTGGATCAACTTTCCCCAAGAGGTCGTTTGAGCTTCACACCAAGCAAAGAGTTCTTCAGCACTACAGCCCGTTCAAGTACTGCAGGAAATCTGAGTGGCAGTCAGCTTCTCCATTCACCCGGGAACAACCGCAGTCTGAGTAACCCAGTCCACCCATCACCAAACAAGACAATCTCTGGTACAATCCTCACAGTCTGGATTCCATAAAGGACACCTTTCCGTGGAGAAGTGAGTCTGCAACCTTTTCCTCCAATTCTAAACCTAAGATTCAATTTTCCCATTGCGCCTGAACTAACCGCAGTGTCTTCCCCCTCACCTTCCAGTTCCCTTTGCAATACTGGACTCATTCCCTTCTACTCCGAGCAGCACTGGTTTCATCACATTTTTCCTAAATAAACCTGTTTAAACTTTTCCCTGGTCTCTCTGTTTGGTCTTCTGCATCTTGGGGTCAGACCTTTAATTTTATCATGACAACAACAGGACAATACGCCTACACATATAGCCAGAGGTAATGATCAAAGTGGTTAGGGATAGGGACCTTTATTGTTTGCACTTCATCTCCTTCCTCTCAAAGAGATTTTTAATCATACATGGTATAGTGTACCATTTCTATGCCGATGACTGTCAACTTTACTTGCCAATTGCTAAAAACAGCCACTGCCCCTGACACCCCTTCTTGACTGTCTGGGTGATGTCGAGGCTTGGCTGTCAAAAAAAATTTCTGAAGCTTAATGAGAGCAAGACAGAGGTGATGGTGTTTGGAAGTGCCATCTCTGACTTGGGACCTTTCAAGCATTTTGTGCGTTCCAAAGTAACCAGCCTTGGTGTCACCATAGACAGCGATTTTTTAAACCGAACAATCAAATAAATAGCGTTTTAAAATCATGTTTTTATCATCTCCGTCTTTTATCTGAGGTAAAACCATTTTTATCTTTTAACCTTTTTGAGCAGGTTTTACACTCTTTTATTTCTAGCCGTCTGGACTACTGCAATGCACTTTATTCAGGCATTAGCCACCAAGCTCTCTCCCATCTGCAGTTGGTTCAAAATGCTGCGGGTCATCTTTTAACAGGGACCAGAAAACATCAACACATTACACCAGTTCTTGTGTCTTTGCACTGGCTCCCTGTTCATTTTAGAATTGATTTAAAGATTTCATTGTTTGTGTTTAGAGCCCTGAATGGGATGGCTCCTCAATACATTACTGACCTCCTCAGGATTTATTCTCTGGCACGTGCCCTGAGGTCTGAGGGCCATCTTCAGTTAATAGTGCCTAAGACGAGGCTTAAAACCAGAGGGGACAGAGCCTTTTCTGAAGTTGGCCCCAGACTTTGGAATACTTTGCCCCTCCCTATATGGACTGCCTCTAAAGTGGAGTGTTTTAAGTCTCGTCTTAAGACCCACTTTCACTCTTTGGCTTTTAACAGCATGTAGTTTGTGTGGGCCTCTGTGTCCTTTTTAGTTTATGTATTGTTGTATTGTGTTTATGGATTGTTGTGTTGTTGTTTATTATTCGTTATGTACAGCACATTGGAAACTTTTTCTGTTGTTAAATGTGCTATATAAATAAAGTGGATTGAATAGAAATAACTCAGACAGATTCCTTACATGATGGTTCCTCTCACTTTACTGACCTTCTGCTCTTCCCTTGAATGGAGTAACGTCTTCAGGGACTAGTCATAAAAAGTAATTAAAAACCAGTATTTTCTTTCTGAAAGACAGTTGTTCTCCGCACAATTGGATCTCTGTTATTGAGGCTGGTTGCTCCAGTGCGTATCTGCATTAAAGTTTTTCAGTGGATTTGTTTTTTTACAGCAGCCCTAATCATGACATACTTTGTTGTTCTGTAGCTTCATCTAGGTAGATACCCTTGCTATTTTAAAAAGTTTTACATATTTTCAACCAGTCTGCATTACAAAAAGATCAAACACCCCTTCCCCACTGGCCAAAACGCCAGTATAAACCCCAAAACAATATACATGCACTGTATATTTGCTCTGCTTTCCCAAACTTCATCCTGGCCGGTGACCCCATTGACCCACAGACTGACACAGTCTGCTGTTTTTTGTGTGAAAAAATAGATTTTTTTTTTAAGTTAATTTTATGACCTTTCTAGGATTAGCAGGACAACAGCATTAAGATGATTGATCCTCATCAGATAGCAAGCACAAATTTGTACCGTTTAGACCAGGGTTGGGCAATTCCAGCTCCTGGGGGCCACTATCCTGCAACTTTTAGATTTGTCTTTGGTCCAAAACACCCAAACCAAGTAAATAGATGATTAAGAGGACTAAAGAAACTGACAACATACTGAGGTGGTAATTCAGCCATTTGATTCAGGTGTGTTTGACCAAAGACGCATGTTAAAGCTGCAGGATACCGGCCCTTGGAAACTGGAATTGCCCACCCCTGGTTTAGACAGATCATTGGATGCATTTTAAACTGTGTTACATCAAGTAAAAGGATTTTAGTTCAACTTCAGGGTGAGCTTCCCATCAAAACAAAAGGCAACTATCTGAAATATTTAAGACAAATTAGAAAAATAACAGAAACCCTCCCTAACTAAAATAAACAAAAGATAACAGGGACCGAACTAAAAGGATGCTCACCCCTATAAAGACTTCTCTGTGTAACAGGGACCTAAAGTGTTTAAGAGGATGCGCTGACAAAGGTCTGGCTGGTTGAGATGAGCTATGAATTATGACACATCAGGGTCTTTTTCTTTGCCTTCTCCATTGAGGCTGCAAATACATCAGTGTTCTGATCCACAAATCATGAACTGGACATTTAAAATAGCATATTAACTAAAAAAAAGAGCCCTCACAGCCCTAGTCCTAACACCTCGAATACATTGCTTCCATGTATGACATAAGACAAAAATCTAAAAAAAAAAAAAAAAGAAAGAAAATCCCTTAAGACATCACAAGAATAATTGTCGACCAGTTCATCATTAGGTGCAATTTCTTGATATGGGAAAGTCTTATGTTTATCTTTTCAGATGATTTTTTTATAAGAATAAAACATCATGGAAACATCCAACCATTATACTGCTTAGGAAAGCAGTTTATTTCTGTGCTGGGCTTAAAGAGATCATTAGTAAAATAAGTCTTGGGCTGATATATGGTAAATGCCCATTCCATAAGAAAAAAAAAAAGGTATTATCCCAGAAGCAAAATAAATATTACTTTGAGGCCTTGCCCGCAATTTCATAAAGAACAAAATTGCACCCACACAAGTCTACACAGCACCAATGAAGTCATTATAGTACATCCCACCGAGTAAAATTGGTTAAAAAGATGACATGATTTACATCCAAAGAACATCTATATTTGGTTGAAAAGGGAAAGGTTAAAGAAAGGTTAAAGGGTGCAATTTTCAGATCGAAAATTCAGTTTCCCACCTCTATTATTGGAGTAAGGTGGGACAAAATCAGACTGACCAAACATATTCCACGCCTAAATGATGTCTGGTGTTCGTGGGGATATGCCTAGTCCTTTTGCTGTACACAGCAACATGGAGGTCAAGTGGTGCATGCGGATAATAGAGGTAGGTTGAGCTACAACATAAATATTAATAGAAATACATGGCTTGCATGTACACTCTGAAGCATTAAACCAATATTTCTTTTTTTATTATTTTAGTCTGGGGCCTGGTTAAAAAAAATATTTTGTTCCTGCTCTCACAAGACTCTGGCTCCATCTGGATGCACACCTTGCATAAAAAAACATATCCTCGCTGTTACACCTAATCTCCTTTCCAGATTGGGGCCTTTGTATCCACTCACACAGAGATCTTAAT